ATAAAGAGAAAAATCCGCATTTTACTATGTTTAATTAATAAATTTTGACGTCGTTGCATTATTTCTGATTGCCACTGTATATTTACTAATAAAATAGAAAATTTCAATTTTTACTAATCTCATGCCTTTTTTGGATTCCGATAATTTATTGTAGGGGTGTGTATTTGTCAAGTCAATTAAAAAAATTAATAGCAAGAATCTAAACTTTTAATCGTATTTTTTATGAAGTTTGAGCTGATTGATCTTTATATGATATTTCAAAGAAGCAAATTACTAAATCAACCAGCAATTTCTTAATATTATGATTTCCGATTCTAATTGCATGTACATGTATAAATGATTATCTGAAATATAAATATAAAATCAGTGCAAATAAAATGACACAAAAATGAACATCTAAAAATCACATGACTTGCAGAACAGAATTTGCATGCTTATGGATTTGTCGACATTATATTGATATGAAAAACTCTTATTATATCACCAATTAAAATTTAAGTTTGCTTGCATATTGTCTAATTAATGTAACCCGCACACGTAAACAAAAGGGATTATTGGTAAGTTTTTTAATGGTTTTATTGTGCTAAGACCCAAGCTCCTAATTGAAGTATATATGTACATACGTATTATTCATCATGGATGCGTTGAAGATCAAGTTGAATTAATAATTCATTTTCGAGATTTTCAAAATACATGTACGTACATATGTATGACATACACACATGCGCATGCGCATAATATATTCGGCATGAATAATCATCCAATAAGCACAATAAACACAAATATCACCCGAGATGATACATGTAATTTTGTGTAAATTAATGAATCAAATACCAATCAAACATGTAAGAAAAGAATAATTTCAGTAATTTTGCTAAAGTATCCTTTCGATATGATAGTAGATAATCAACATAAACGTATATGCAGAAAACGGAACAGGATTAATGCGGAAGAAAATACACGCCTACTGTAAATCGATATCGATATTGTACGTATTGATATTATTTTATAACTTCTTAGTGGCTCTATTACATCATTTCTCTTTGTTAAATTTTCCTAAATCTCTTTAAAGCACGAATCACAGCTGTGAGAATACAATAACAAGCCAATCGATTGATAATAGCGATAGATGAAAAACTACGTAGTGAAGTGTACTACATACAAGTGACAATAAAAACCGGATATACACCAATGTTAGAAAAAACAACATCACTAACGCTAATTGCTAGCTTAACTAATTAACACATTCATTTACTAATAGCGATAGCATTTGATATTACTACTACGTACGTATACTAATATCATTTATTGTATTTTTAGCCGTTTTTTATATTGTGCACACTAATAAATATATAGACAAAATTTTTCTTCTTTCCCATCTTTTTTCATTTCCATTCTCCATTTTTTTTCGTCCTTGATCTCAACTCTTTGAGTTATCTCCAATCTTTGTTTCTTAAAGAACTTCTCCCTCGCTTCATTAATACCGTCATCTTAAATCGACGAGATTTGATCACAAAATTATCACACACCAAAGTACGCGTCATTCCACGTACTCTTTTAATCAAATACAAAACATCATTCCAGTAAGCATTAGATTCTCGTTCTTTTTCAATAACCAAAAAAACCCGATCGATTATCGTTATATTGTAATCATAAACTAAAATGAGTGGTATCAAAGACGAACAAACCAATTTTGATGATGATGTCAAACTGTTAAATACCGATGAGAGAATCATTTTAAACGTTGGTGGTGTAAAGGTAATTAATTTATTGTGCTTTACAATAATAGAATAGAAGGAGTTTATTAGTTGCTGCAGGGGACATTAGTGTTTTAATTATTCTGATTTGATTTCCCAATCGGTAAAACAACAAAATAACAAAAAATTCACATGCATATACGTAGTATGAAACATATCGTTCTACTTTAACTGCTTATCCCTATACTCTCCTTGGCACGATGTTTCAACCACGTAATCAACCATTACTTCATCCAACCAATGGAAATGAATATTTTTTTGATCGTAATGGAAAAATATTTCATTATGTCATGGAATATTATCGCACCGGTCAAATCTTATGGCGTCCACCGTCGTCTGAACCACCTGGTCTTAATAATAACACCAACTTCA